AGGAGAAAGAACCTCCATTCTCAAAACTGCACCTTGATCGTTAATTGGTGTAATTGCCAGGCGGTGAAATTTTTTTTCGTTATTTAAAATAAGATTGCAACGATGGAAAATTAATATTTTAACATATTTTTCACGCGCAAGCTATGGGGGACTAAAGAAGATTCTGAAAAAAGTGGTCGATTAGAACTTGATTCACGCCTTCTGGCCGTTGGGCGCATAACAACACGCTGACGGCTGTTGAGGATTAGCGGAAAGGAATCATCGAAGATACCAGTCTGCAGCAAAGCCGGTACCCGTTCTGAAGCGAGGAGGTAGACAGCGCAATGCCATTATAGGACGTCAGACAGGGTTAATCGCGAACGATACCAGCAGTGGGAACTTACAATCAGAAATTGGAACATGTCCTCACTCATATGGAAAGAACTGGAACTAGTTGATGAGGCAAAAAGATACTGACTAGATAGAGTTGAACTCTCATCAGCGAATCGCTATGGCTCTGGAACTCTGAAGCTTTGCGAGCGGAGGCTATTTTACTCAGGTGTCGACTTCACGACACGAGCTCAATCCGGTAGTGTCCTCGTAGAACCCAAACCGGCTCATAGAATCATTTAATGGAAGTGTGCCAGAGGAAGAGTGGCAATCGTCCGACTGAAGTTACAACAGGCTAAACGTTTAGGCCTCTTACAGATCTATGCTGCCATTTTTGAGAGAGAATATAAATTCTTCCGGGAGGAAGTAGCCGGTCACTCATATGAAGTGTCGACTGTAGAATGCATCATTTTAATGGAGGATTTCACTGCGCATGTCAAAACAGACACTACGCGTACTTAGAACGACTGGTCCTGGCTACCTCATTAATAATGGCATTGACAAGGGACCTTTTAAAGAGAAAGGTAAAGCAGAATAGTGGCATGAAGCTGTTCAATCATGAATGACAGCTCAAGGGCCAGTTCTCACCAAGTATTTTATCTGGCACTACAGGTGTTCAAATGCCGCGGGACCGTGACCTGTTCAAATGCCCCTGGGCGACCGTAAGCAAGGGGACGATGCAACGTTGTGAAAGTTGGTCTTTGGAGAGGAGTGCGTCGTCATTATACAACTTATTGAAAATTACCCTTTTTCGCAAAGTCTGCCGTCCTTCCACCATAGATAATGACTGGTCGTTACAGCAATAAATTGAAATTGACCACCGCGCATGCATCATAACATGTGCGTCGCAAACTAAGGCTGAAAAACACTGAAAAGTACATGGAACGAATTCGGCAACTTCAGTTCTGTCTTTATGTCATTAATCGTTGTTGATTCACTGACAGAGACGATGGCAGCCTTTCGAGATTTCTCCGTTACCGTACTACTCAAATGCAGTGCCATCCGGCCTGTGATCGCCAATCGTCATACGTAAGATGGCCGAAAAACTGCCTGATCCTATTGCTTGATTAGAACTGCTCCTGACTACCTGGCAAAAGGCCTTGAAGCCCTGAGGCCAGAAGACGTGTCGTTGGTCGAGGCCATCTAAATCAGTGGTCGAAAACGGCTTTAAGCAGCTACCGTAAAGAGACGACATCGTTTATGAAATCTGGCTTCGGCAGGTCGTTAAACGGTGCTTCGGTTTATTTGGCAGCAAATTATGACCACCTGTTTTTGGGTGGTTTCAAACGAAAGTACCTCTGTAAGGAGAACGATGGATTTCGCGTCCGGAATACATGGCGAAGAAAAGTTTGTGTTTTCGCAAAACGGATTGATGAACGGCAGGTTATGAATGAACGTCGACCTGGTAGTAAAAGCAACGAGCCGGCTGCCGTGGCGGCTGTTCGTAGTGGAGCTGGCTCTGCGACCACTGGGTTGTCTGAAACGCTCATCGGCTTTTTTCCACACTCGGCTGAAAGTACTGAAGCTGTGCCAACGACTGTGCCGTCGATCAGGGAGTGATTTACGACAGGGTCGATCATCGGATCGGTCTCCAAGTTTTTGCTTCTTGAAACGTCGTTGCCAGAAACGCCATGGCACCAGCTGCAGTAAACCGAGAACGGGCCAAAAGGGTGAATGACGTGTTCTTGTCCTTGAAGAAGTGACGTGATCCGCAGAGCGGCGGCAATAAATTTTTGCCAACGAAGACCACGGGCCAACGACGATTTTACGGTAATAAAACTAAGCGGCAGACGACGCGTCGACGGGGCCTCTTGGACGGAGGTCAATCACATAAAATGCCGTGGCGAAGGCTGAGCATCGAACACGGCCTGATCAAATCACTGTCGTTAAAATCTTGGACGACTTCTTCGCTAACGTTCCGTTGAGGGAGTGTAATCTCGACAGCTACGGCGAGAGGGACGTCTAGCAGCGTGGACAGATGAGGACCGTTCCTAGCTTCTGATGTCCACCGTCATTGGTCAGCCGACAAATTGCGCTTGTCCGAACAGTAGTTTTCGACCAGTAACTCTTTCGGTTGTAAAAGCAAGCTGTTCTAGGTATCGCATTCGTTCATTACTACTAATAAAAACCGAATTCAGATATTTCTAGTAAAACCGATCGGCACTAATTATCACGCAAATTGCCAGGTGAGTCAACAAACCTTCACAGTCAGTTTCTCCGGAAAGGGCCGTCTATCGCTAATGAGACGCATAACCCCTACCACACTAGATTTCGTAGGATACGGCCCCATTTCCTTGCTCCTAGGTGCATAGGGGGCCATTTGAGCAGGCCACGTGTGATGTCAGAGCTCTAGTGACGAATAGAATGATGGGTCATTTATGTAGCTCCGTTCTTGGACACATGGAAGCCTGTTTGGATCCTAAAGTTTCACCCCTACAAGCACATTAGATAAACACTGGAGTAAGGGCTGTATTTGATTCACCAGAATCTTTCTAAATCGGTTAGTCGATAGAATTATGCTAGCTGATGCCATCTGAGAGAGAGGATAATCCGGTATCAGGAAATCATCACGGACTTGACCAACGCCCAGTAAAACATCGAGGATTACACCTGCTGATTATTACAATGAGTAAGCAACTGTAAAATGGGCTAAGGTGGATTGCAGACATATGAAGTCCTCACGTTAGATAGAATGGTCGTACATTCTGGTATGACCTCACCATGCTACCCTTGTTATTGATGACATGATGTAAACAACTCCTACTCGTAAATTCATTTCTCAAGGGAATTCATGGTCCCTTCACAGGATTCCAGCCTGTATTTCTAAAGTTCAAAGCCGACCTGTTTTCCACATACAGAGGTAATCAGAAAAAGAATGCAAAGGTCACGGTATCGCCTACGGATGTCATGTAATCCATCCGCTCTGACCGGCTCCTGTAGGTAGCAGGATCTACACTGAATTTACTGGGAGATCGACAGGGCATTGGATAACCTTTTGTAATTGAGTATAAATATGACGCTTAAATATTTCAAATCTCTTCAATGGTATGCGCTTTATCGTTTCTCAAATGAATGGTGACCTTGACTACATTAATAAGTTATTCATTTCGTCTGCCACTCATGAAGAAAATACGTCCAGCCCTGTTGCTTATCCTTCAGGGTCAGCGTTCGATTTAATCGGACATGTAACTACAATATCGTCAGCGAATTTGCGGATACGGCTTATCTGCTACGGCATGAGTCCCTATGAACTTTGAGCCAATGGTAGGAGAGGACTCTGCAATGATCCGAGGTTGTTCGGTTCGGCTGCCAAAGTGGATTTGCCGGCATGCAAAACAGTTGATCATCTAAAAGGTTAATGAAGTCCAATCAAACGATAAATAGCTTCTAAGAAATTCGTGCTATCCTACTACTAACTGTTAACTCGTATTATACTGACTCGTAACGTTCAGTATCGGCAAGTGGAACGCAAGGATTATCG